AGCCTTGAAAAGACTTCTTCGGTATCTCAAAGCCACCATTTTTCATGGACTGCACTTAAAACGTTCATCTTCCCAAAATCTCTATGCATTTAGTGATGCCGATTGGGATGGAAATCGGGATGACTATACATCCACCTCTGCATATGTTACTTTTTATGGTAGTAACCCCATTTCTTGGAAGTCTTTTAAACAAAAAGTTGTTGCAAGATCATCCACTGAAGCTGAATACAGAGCTCTGGCATCTGCATCCGCAGAAGTTCTTTGGTTGTCATCACTTCTCTCTGAACTACATGTCAATATACCAACTATTCCTACCATCTACTGTGACAATCTCGATGCCACTTATCTCACTGTCAATCCCGTCTTCCATAGTCGCATGAAACACATTGCCATAAATATTCATTTTGTCAGAGATCATGTTCGTAATAACAAGATTCGAGTTCAACATGTTTCAACTAAAGATCAACTCGCAGATTGCCTTACCAAACCCTTATCCAGGCAGCGTCATCAAGATCTTCGATTCAAGATAGGAGTATCTGACGGTACCCCTATCTTGCGGGGGCGTGTTAAGGTTACAGAGTCAAAAACATTTAAATCAAGAGATACTCTAGGATCAAGCATTCAAGATGAGAGTTATTGTAGGATCAAGCAATCAAATCAAATTATAACTAATTAGAGGAAATCAAGCAATAGCAGTAGGAAGAAATTATTATGATAGCAAACTTGTTTCTATATATTGTACCAATACACCTTGTGAATAATGATCAATATAACAGTATCCTTCATAATTCACAATCAAATCATGCAAGGAAAGTTGGTTGTTAAATCCTAAATGAACATAAGTCCTCATGCAATGCTAACAAGAAATCATGTGAGATAAAAAGGGGTAGTGTGAAGAAAATAAAGCAAACATATACATTTTATAAATTCAACACATGCCAAATGATCAAGATAAAACTCAATTAATCATGAAGATCATGGTACAAACATCAAAGCATACAAACTAGGTCAAAACAAAGAGTGAATGTGAAGTAGGAAGAAATATGCGAGGGTTGAACATGGTATTAGGTTTAAAATAAGAGTGAAGTCAGAAGCATACACACATATTAACTCACCTTAAAGCCTTAAAATGAAACATACTCATGCATCATACACAATACTAGAGAACTTATGCACAAAACACAAGCAAAAGGCCATAAGAGGCATGCAAAGTTTGATAGGATAAAGGGATGTTAGAAGTATGATAAATTTTTTCAGAAATGGAACACAATAGAACAAAGTCAGTAGCATATCCTATACCAAAAATTAGCTTAAAACTATGCACACAAGTTCTCAAATACAATCATTTTGGTCAAGGAAAAATCCTATGCATACCTCTAAGTCAAAATTAGGTTAAAAATAGGAAAATGACTTGTAAAATCACTCTAATTAAATCCTAGCTTACTAAAGACATATAGAAGTCAGAAACATCATTTGAAGCTCTTGGATTAACTTGGAAAGGTGACAATGATTGGAAATCATCAAGACTAGTTAGGAAAGAGCTCAAACTAGAGAGTTTTAGCAAAATAATTTGTGAAAAATGTAAGATCAAAACTTAAAATTCAGAAAAAATAGTTTTTATGATATTATTTCATCCAGTAATCTCAAACGTATTTTATTGGATTTTTAGAAGTAAGGAAAATTGGATAATTAAATGTTTCTTTAGGCTTAAGCAAGAAATAGGACCAAAGACAACAATTAACTGGCACAATTTTGAAAAATAAGCAAACTGAACTTCAAATTCAATTAAAAATCATGAGCAACTAGATCAATATATAAAGAACACTAAACATATTTTTCTGAAATTTTATCTTGAAAGAAAAAATTAAAACAGAAAATATTGCAAAATGCAACAAAGTTTAGCAAAAAGAATGACACAACTAACTAATTGATTTAATTAGAGTGTCACACATTTTTTAAAATAGGATAAAAATTATTTTCATGGAGTAGATCAAAAGTCAACTCAGTATATTTTTTGTGGATTTTTTAGGTTAGTGAAAATTAGAAAATAAAATTCTAAAATCTAAAAGATTATTAAAATCTTAATTAAACTAATTGAATTATTTAATCATCTAAAAATGACAAAATTATGAAATAAAATTTATAATATGAAAATATACTAAAAATTAAGTTTAGAATATTTTTGTGATGATTTTTAAATCAAATAAAATATTTAAAAATAATTGGAGAAAATAATTAAAAAATTAAAGGAAATTCAAATAGATTGAAATCTATTACACCCGTTTTAAGCAATATGCGATGCATAAAGCCTTATGCATGCATGAATCAAAATGTGCTAACTCATCGTCCTTGTCCTGTGAACTAAAACCCTAACAAAATAACATCTTTATCATGCAATGTTCAGGCCACGATTTCTCGCTCGTTTCTTCATGGATTTGCAAAGTATAAACACCAAACTTCAAGATCTAAACAAGTAGAACATGATAGGATCAAGAAAATCACAAAATGATGCACGAATCACAAAGAAAAAACTATGCGAAAGTTGTTGCACAAAAATGATTTCCAGTTAAGCAATTCATCAAATAATTTTCAGATTCAATTATCTTACTCGATTCTCAACCAAATCACATGATCCAAACATCAAAATTCATCACAAAATAATAAGGAACAATAAAATGATCATAGATTTTTCAAATGACGCAAGATCAAGTAGAAATCTGAGCACGAAAGCACTGGTTTAAACAGAATTTCAAGCAACTTCCAGAGCACGAATTCAGCCTCAAAACACATAGAATTATACCTCAGATCTAAGATCTGGCCAGCTAACACAACATATGCAATATCTAATGCAATTATTCAAGCTAGCATGAGAGGAATTCGAATATGAAAACTTACCTCAAAAGTGAGAAATAAACTCATTATGCCTCTGATCACAGATGAGAAACCCGATGATATTGCTTCCTATGCTTCAGTGATGATGAAAATCGAGGAGAATTGATAGCTTGAAGCAAGATATAAGAGAGAGAGAGAGAGAGAGAGAGAGAGAGAGAGAGAGAGAGAGAGAGAGAGAGAGAGAGAGAGAGAGAGAGAGAGAGAGAGAGAGAGAGAGAGAGAGAGAGAACTGTTGAAGAATGAAGAGATAATTTTTCAGTTTTTTATGCGTGAGGAAGCGTGTATGAAGAGCCTCTTCTGTAATGAGAGTGAAGATTAGTTTATATAGAGTGGGAAAGAGTGTTGAGGAATTTTCCTTGAGGGCATGATAGTCATTGAACCTATAAATCCGTTAGAGGGCAAAATATACCATTCTGACCAATTTAGAAGGTTGCATTGGTGACCTGCGTTTTATTTTCTTTTGCTTAGCTTCCTTGTTCATTTTGAGTGGGGAATAGAGAGTGGAGAAAGAATACTGATGGAATATCAAGTTGGCACGTGATATTGAGGTGGTGACAGGTTTATGCAAGCTTGCATTCTTTTCCCGTTTTAGCGAAAAGAGAATATGAGGTGTGCATGGAATTCACGTGTTTGGTCATTTTAGGCAAAGAAACAAGGATGATGCTGCATGGTATCGAGGCCTGGTGTGTACAATACTCATAAAATGACTGCATGCCAAGTCTATTGATCAGCTCATTTTCTAGTCCAAGTTCTCTTATGCTCAAGAGGCCTCCTAAAAGTTTGCATGAATGTTTCAACATTGTGCTTTGAATTTTCAAAAATAGTGCTTGCATCATGAATAAGTCATAGCAAGAAGTTTGGAAAAAATGAAGTCTGGCAAGGCAAGGTGCGCGCGCGGGCTGCATGTCTGGCCTGCATGCATGTCTTGCATGTTGATAAGTTTGAAACATGGATTTTCAAACCTCATATTTTACTCGATAAAAAGCCAAATGACATTGTCCAAAGCTCAACATGAAACTTGCATATCCAACTATAATTCTCCTTTGAACATTTTTTTTCATTGAAGTTTGAGTTAGCAAAGAATCAATGGTGAAAATGACACACCACATGTTTGTAAAAATGGCTGGCCTTGCGTGCAAGCTTGCCTAACAATTTTATGCCTTGTGCCTAGAACTTCCAAGCTCCATATCTTTCAAATCCTTCACATTTTGGACTTAAGCTCACATTGACAAAGTTGACGGATTTTTCTCAAGCTTTCCAACCATGTATCATTTGTTTCATTTGAATAAAAAATGAGCAAGTTATGAGAAATTAAAATTCAGCCTTATGAACACTTGGACAATTTTCAAATTGTTCCAATAACTTCTAACACAAGTTATCTTCAAATCAACTTCTTCTCTTGATTTTATGCCAAATTTGATCAGGAAATATGAAAATAGGATACTTGAATTGGTAGCTGACCAAAAGTCCACTTGGTCAACTTTGACTTTGGTTAACTTTTGTCAAAATGACCATTTTATCCCTAATTGATCAATTGAACCACTTCCAATCAAAATTGATGCTCAATCCTTCAATCATATGTGCTTATTAAGATGCAGAGAAGCATGAAATCAAGTCTTGGTAAAAAAATCAGAGATATCCTAATTAAATCAAAAACCCTAATTTTGACTCTTTGTGTTAGGAGATGATGACCAAGCTTCAAAATCCTACTTCTTCTGGACATGTTGAGAAATTCCTTGAACAAAAATACTTTATATGATGATGAGGAAATGATCCTTCACAAATTTGACTCCTACAAACCTCAAATACTTCATCAATTGGCCAAAACTCGATTGACAAAACACAAGCCATGTAAGAATTCTTAACTTTTTTTATTTAGTCTTTTTTATTCTTAACTTTTCTATATCAATTTTTTTAATACTTTTTTTTGTACTAATTCTTTTTTACGTTTTCTTATACTCTTTTTATTAATATTTTTTTTTAAATTATCAAAATATTACTTTTTGGCCTAAAACTATGATTCTTCCAAGTCCAACCCACTTACTCTTTCATTGTGTTCAATTTGAAAATTTAAATGGGAGTTTGGTTATAAACACTAGTTGCTCACGATGTGGGACTTATTTGAAAGGTAAAAAGCTAAGCCAAAGTGTAGAACTAAATTTTAAGGACAAAGTATGCATGCAAATCTAATGAAATTCTAAAGTAAACATATTCTGATGCTCCATTCCATAACATGCTTTATATATAGTCGACTCTTGTTTTGATTTTGTCCCATTATCTGCAAACAATTGGAAAGGTAAGCATATACTGGATCATGCCATTGATACAGAAGATATGTAGTAGCAGGGATCTTTAGTAACATGCAAATGCCTGGAATATAGACAAGTCCTGGGCTTCAAATAATTGCACCTAGGAGTTCATATGTATGCTAGATATCATCACATGATCTTGCAACGTAGATGTGTGAATATAATATGAAACTTCAATGATAAACATAGATTTAAGATTTTTTTGGTTTTCTTTTTGGTTCTAAGAAGTATATGAGCACATAATTTAAAAAACTAAAAAACTAAAAATTAAAAAAATTTAAAATTTAAAATTTTAAGAATTTAAAAATTTAAAATTTAAAATTCCACATGGATTAAAAAAATAATATGTGGATTGCTACGTAGACAGTTAAAAAGAATCTTTAATGCAATGAGGCAGAGATGTATATGTAACCCTTGTTTTATACATAATTTGAAGTTAATAAAGATGATTGATTTAACTAGTCAAAGAATGAATTATACAAATTACGAGGGTTTCTCAACATACTCAAGTACTTGATCTGCTCTTTCTTCATAAACACAAATCACGTACTTGATCTGCTCTTTCTTCATAAACACAAATCACATTGATAGATATCCTGTTTTCACACCATACCTCAAATTTCAATATGAAATTTTAGACTACTACACTTATCAAATCATAAGTTGTATGATATGATAAAAGTGTGTCCCTTTATTACTAATGAAAATAAATCTCTTCGTGGCATTTGTCATTTTTCCAAACAAAATAAAATTTCATTCAATGCTAGTTACTTCTAAATTTTCTCTTTTACATTTTGACATATGGGGATCAACACCTACACCTTCAATTCATGGACATAGATATTTTCTACCATTGTATATGACTATAATAGATTTACATGGATTATATTGATGAAATCTAAATTAGAAGTAGCCATACATGTTCAAAACTTTGTCAACATTGTTAAAAACCAATACAAAACCATTCTCAAGTAATAATGACTGATTGAATTTGTCCTTTCTTCATTTTACAACACCAAAGGCATCCAACAGCAAAATTATTGTGTTGAAATTCCCCAACAAAATGATAGGTTGATAGAAAACATCAACATATTTTGAATGTTGAAAGAGCATTGATATACCAATCCAAACTTTCAAATTCCTATTAGTTATATGCCATAAACCATGCCATCTTCTTGATTAATAGAGTGAAAACTCCCATATTATCCAACAAGTCACCATAATACACCATATTAGACAAAGACCATGACTTATAAATTTTCAAAATCTTTGGATGCCTTGCCTTTGTATCAACTTTACAGTCCCACATATTCAAACTTGATTCGAGAGCCATAAAATCAGTTTTCTTTGGATACAAGACATGTTACAAAGGATATATTTTTTTGGGCCTGCACACAATAATGAAGTATTCATTTCTAGAAATGTAATCTTCCATGGACACATTATTCCATTCCCACAAACTGACACCAGTCGCAACAATAATTGGAAAATTTATCTTTACCACACAAGACATGATAATTCAAATAAAAAATCATCACCACATAGACATATATCCACTAACCATTACCATCCCACCCTTACACATCAACCAATACTTTAAACACACATATAAAATAATTCAAATAACAAAGGAAGTATTGTCTTGATCTCCTATCTGATTCAGGTTTAATTGGATCCAAACTTGTCAACACACCTGCAAATCCATCTATCAAATTATTCAATGACACTAGCTCTCCACACATGGACATTCGAGGTTACATAAAATTAATTGGACACATACTATACTTAACAACCACCAGACCTGATATTACTTTCATCACACAATAATTAATCCAATTTCTCAATAAACCATCCACCACACACTTCCAAGTTGCTTCAAGAGTTCTTCGATACCTAAAACAAAGTCCAGATCAAGGCTTTTTCTTTCCTCGAGATTCATCACTACATATCACAAGTTTCTCTAATACTGATAGGACATGTTGCATTGAAACACAAAGGTTTATATCTCGTCAATGTTTCTTCTTAGGGAAATTTATGATTTCATGGCGCACCAAGAAACAAATGACTGTGTTCTAGTCTTCCTCATAAGCAGAATATTGTGCATTAGCTGCAGCCACATGTGAACTTCAATGGATAGCTAATCTCCTTGATTAGTTGAGACTCTCACCAATCAAACCACCAACATTGTATTGTGATAACCTCAGTGAAATACACATAGCAGCAAATCCCATGTTTCATGAAGGAACTGAACACCTCAGAATTGATTATCACCTTGTTCGTGAGAAACTCCAAAATGGCATTTTCAAGCTCTTATTAGTTCCGTCAAAAGAACAAACAAGTTGTAGTTTTTTCACAAAACCTCTACTTCCTCAACCTTTCCACGTTCTTGTATCCAAGTTGGGCAGTGGCGGAGCCAGCGTCCGGCCAGGTAGGACAGCTGCCCAGGCTCCGCCCGACCATGCTTCACCATCTCGCGATGGAGATCTTCTATGGCCATCTTCCGACACACCATACCGTAAACAGATACACACCGCAACACCACTCTTGCCTTTCCGGTTTCCGTTCAATCAATTATCGGTGAGCATCACCTTCCTCCGTCGATTCTTTCTTCTTCTTGCTTCTGTTTCAATTCATATCTCCTACATCATTGTTGTTGTTTTGTTATTTGTTGTTGTTGTTGTTGCAGGTTGTGGTGTTGAATTTGTTGTTTCGTGCTATGTCCACCAAGTGTTCGGTAAAATTTCTGAACGAATATTTTTCTTATTGGGCATCCTAGAATCCAATCCAGAGAGTATATCAACTTTTCTATTGGACTACTGGAAAATCTTATGTACAAAAACTCTCAATTAAACCAAGCATATGGGATACCTTTGCATATGCTGGAAATGGTGCTCTTTCTCATTTATTTGCTATTACACTTAATCATGTTATAAAGTCATAGACATTGAAACTCTTCATTTCAATTAAATTTGCAGCAGGACAATTCGAGGGAAACGGGGACATTGCATGCGACCAATATCACAAATATAAGGTCAGTAGACATGGAATACAACAGATCTCTCATGTTTGACATATGAAATAACTAGTTTACGTATGCTTTCATTTTTTGCAGGATGATGTCAAACTCATGGCGAAAATGGGCTTAGATGCCTATAGATTTTCCATATCATGGTCAAGACTTATTCCAGGTACGATAGATTGGTGTATGTGATCATGGAGTAAGAAAAGTAATTTCTTAAATAATGTCAAGAGCTGATTGTACTTTGTTTGAATCTATAATTTTGTAGCTTCTTGAATCAACTGTTTGTCATTCTTCTGACCATGATCTCATTTTATACCAGATGGGAAAGGGCCTATAAATCCAAAGGGACTGCAGTATTACAACAACCTTATCAACGAATTAACAAGTCAAGGTTCTTTTGCAAACTAGATTTACATTGTAAAGTTCAATTGCAGATTTCCAAAATATCGGTTTGTTCAAATTATGTTACACTATAGTGCTATAGTGCCGCTTTAGCTACTAATCGACAATCTTAGAATTTGTTAGAATTCTGATCCGCTAGCTGCTATAACTACTATTTGACAACACTAAATTCAACTAGTTTCCACCTTCATTTGTAGGAATCCAACCACATGTTACATTGCATCATTGGGATCTACCACAAGCACTTGAAGATGAATACCTAGGATGGGTTAGTCGAAGAATTATGTACGGTTCCCAAACTATATTCAACCAAAATAAGAAAAGAAATTTTTCTATAATTAATATTTTCATATCTATTTTATGCTACCTTGCAGAAAAGACTTCACAGCATATGCAGATGTATGCTTCAAAGAGTTTGGAGATAGAGTTAAATATTGGACCACAGTGAATGAGGGGAATGGGGGTGCAATAGCAGGCTATGGTTCTGGGTTTTTACCACCTCAAAGGTGTACTCCTCACTCTATATATAATTGCTCCAAAGGCAATTCTTCAACTGAACCATATTTGGCAGCGCATCATATGTTGTTAGCACACGCCTAAGCTGCGAGACTGTATAGGAAAAAGTATCAGGTAAATCAATATATCATACATACACCATTTTGCTTTGTCAATCATCTAAATGTGTGTTTGGGAAACTTAAAAATTATGGTGGAAAATCATGATGGGACTGAACATGTCACCTTCTCAAAATCACAGTGAAAAAGGCCTTAAACGTGCTGCAACGCTGTCCCACCGTGTTACCAAACATAGACTAAGCTTTTCACATTTAGATCATGATTATTCCTGATATTATGTAAGACGATAGTTATGATATCATTTTTCACTATGATAATCATAGTATCTTTTGTTTTAAAATGAAACCTATGATACTTGCAGGTCAAGCAACAAGGTTTTATTGGGTTTAATCTCATTGTTGTTGGTTTGATTCCACTAACAAATACTCGTGAAGACATAATTGCCACTCAGAGAGCTCAAGACTTCTATATTGGATGGTAAGAAACAAAATGCATGTGATATCTATCTCTACTTCTAAAATCACACATATAATTGTTTAGAATATAAAACGAAAAACTTTTTCCATAAAAATTCACGCTAAGTTTATTTTACCAATTTAATACGAACAACTATTTCTTTATACAATAATGAATTACAAGACCAGATTTCTTTTCTCTGGATTATTATGACAGGTTTATGAATCCCTTAACATTTGGAGAGTATCCTCGCACCATGAAAAAGAATGTTGGCTCAAGACTTCCTTTCTTCACGAGTAGGGAATCAAATTTGGTTAAGGGCTCAATAGACTTTCTTGGAGTCAACTTTTACAACACATTTTATATTAAGGTAATTGCAATTCAAGGAAATAATTCCTTTGGGATTAGCATTGTACTGTCTTGATAGAAAATTATGAAGCCAATGAAAACTTGCCCAAGCTTCATAATTTTCCTGGCTCCGCCACTGAAGTTGGGCATGATCACAATCTATCCTCCAACTTATGGATGGGATATCACACGACAATGATCACCAATAAGATATAAGTTATTTAGGTACTAACTAACAGACTTACATTACCTTTTCTCTTATAGTTATAATTGGTTACTTGATCGTAAAGCTTTCCAAATATGAAAAGTGGTAGTTAATAGTTATTTAGAGGAGAAATTGTCACATATAAGAACTTCCATGTTAATTACCATAGTGTTTCATCATTGTATAAATAAGAAGTTGTAATCTCCAATTCACTTGAATGAAGAATTACTCTCATTTTATATTGAGAAATGATATTTTGACACCAATTTTTACACATACGCCGTATTTCACTGTTCATCAATACAGTGAACAGTGAAATATTATAATAATAATAAGTATTTTTTAAATATATAAAATTAATTTTATTTATTTATTTTTAGATTAAAAGATACCGATATAAAATCGTGTGATTAACCAACTTCATAACTTCATTAACCAATATTTTATATTTTATTAATCAACTTTATTTTACTATTAAAAATTAATTTTAATATTTAGGTGTTTATTAACCAACTTCATAATTTGATTAACCAATATTTACATGTTATTAACCAACTTTGTTTTACTACTAAAAGTTAATTTTAATATATGGTCGTTTATTAATCAACTTCATATCTTCATTAACCAACATTTTACTTTTTTATTAACCACCTTTGTTTTACTATTAAAAATTATTTTTAATGTTTGGTCGTTTATTAACCAACTTCATCATTTCATTAACCAACATTTTACTTATCTGTTGAGATTTAATTCCATGTGTCGAAGTAGGTTGCTCAACATAAACAAGGTCGTGTCGATTAGTCTAATATGTGTGTCGCGAATTTATGTGTGTGTCGAAATGTCAAAGGTGTGCCTCGACAGAGATTTTGACTCATGCCTATTTTTGTAGTTAACAAAATTAGGTATTTTGGATTTTGGTTTAGGGAGCAAGCAAACCTAAAACTATAAATAGAGAGAGTAATCCATATTATTCTATAAGTGAATAATATTGCAGCTGACAAAGAAAATAGCAGAGGGTTTTCTCTGCAGAATTCATAATTCTTCTTATTCTCCTTATTTCCGTAAATCCTAATTCACTTTCTTCCAATTCATTTTTTCTTTTCTTCTCCATAAACAGTTGTGCAGCGAGAATCATTTTACAATCAAGGTTGGTTAATTCACTCGAGTGAAGAATGAAGAACAAAAGGGAATTTGATTGGTTGATTCAATCTTGTTCATCAAGATTCATTCAAAATTCTCCAGAGGTTTGGTATAATTCCAATATTTTTATTAACCAACTTTGTTTTACTACTAAAGTATTTTTAATATCTGAATGTATATTAATCAGCTTCATCACTTAATTAATCAATTTTTTTATATTTCATTGACCAACTTTAATTTACCGCTAAAAATCATTGTGCAGATATTGTTCTCAAACACTATTCACGATATTGTTCATATATATTTTTATTAAAAAATATTGTTCGTCGTACAAATACAGTGAACAATGCGCATGTGTATGTATTGCTGTAAATTGTGGGTGTCAACATAACATAACTGCTTTATATTATACCCCGATGATGAAAATAAATTGAATACCCCGATAATAGATTAAACAATTATGATATGTTGACACCATAATCTACACCAATACCTATATATGTGCATTGTTTACCATAAGTGAACAATGCTTTTTTTAAATAAAAAATATATTGATAAACAGTACCATGAATAGTATCATGAACAATACTTGCAAAGTGGTTTTTAATAGTAAACTAAAGTTGATTAATGAAATATAAAAAAATGATTAATTAAATGATAATGTTGATTAATATACGTTCAGATATTAAAAATAATTTAGTAATAAAACAAAATTGATTAATAAAAATAAAATGTTGATTAATGAAATAATAAAGTTGATTAATAAACAACCCGATACTAAAAATAATTTTTAATAATAAAACAAAATTGGTTAATAAATAATAAAATGTTAGTTAATAAAATTATAAAATTGATTAATAAATGTTTAAATATTAAAATTATTTTTTATTAATAAAATAAAATAAATTAATTGAATATAAAATATTAGTTAATAAAATTATGAAATTAATTAATATCTCGTAGGAATATATCACTCTCTTCGTAAAGAGGACAAAAAAAGAAGAAAAACAAAGATGGAAGACAAAAAATATAGCAAGACAAGTTTCTGGTCCCTCATACCGCTGCATCTTCTAATGAAAAAGTGTAGATTCTGCGATGCTAATTTGTCTCTTTTATCTACAGTTTTTGGATACATTTTTGTAGAATTAAAACAAAACATCAAAAATTAAAAGTAACAAATATTTTATTTACAAAGACGCTAAACAAATAAAAATTTAAAATTTGCATAGACTAAAAGTACAGTGAAACTTGTTAAATATGATTAAGAAGTATAGTGAATAGGTGGTTTAAGGCTCGGGATGGATTTAACATATGCTTCACCTTTCTTTCATTTCGTTCTACTACTTACGTTCCTTTCTATGCTACTATCATCAACAACAACCTTGGCCAGTGGATTCACAATCAAGGAAGCAACAGTGCAAGATCTTCAACTAGCTTTCCAAAAAAACCAATTAACATCAAGACATCTTGTTGAGTTCTACCTCAACCAAATCAATATCCAAAATCCTGTTGTCAGAGGGGTACTGGAGGTGAATCCAGATGCACTAGCACAAGCAGATGCAGCTGACAAAGAGAGAAGGGAAAAGGCACCAGGTTCTCTGTCAAGATTGCATGGAATACCTATTTTGGTTAAGGATAACATTGCAACTAAGGATAAGCTGAACACTACTGCAGGGTCTTATGCACTTCTTGGCTCAGTGGTGCCAAGAGATGCAGGTGTGGTTACCAAGTTAAGGAAAGCTGGGGCTATCATATTAGGGAAAGCCACATTGAGTGAGTGGTCACATTACAGGTCTGCTGCTGCTCCTAGTGGTTGGAGTGCCCGAGGTGGACAAGGAAAGGTATATAATTTACTACTTCTTTGTTTATTGTATCAAGAGGATTTCACAAATGTGCTTTGTGTTGTGCAGAATCCATATACATTGGGTTTTCCCTGTGGTTCAAGTAGTGGATCAGCTATATCTGTGGCGGCAAATTTGGTGACTGTATCACTTGGTACCGAAACCGATGGATCCATTTTATGTCCTTCAAATTTTAACTCAGTAGTAGGCATCAAACCCACAGTTGGTCTCACTAGTAGAGCAGGTGTAGTTCCAATTAGTCCAAGGCAGGACACTATTGGGTAAGCCTATTTACCTTTGTCTGCATTTCTATTGTGTTTAGCGTCTCTATTTTGTTGTCCTATTTATTTTATACCCTTGCACTAAATATGTGACATCAATTATGTTGTTTCATATAGGCCAATTTGCAGGACAGTATCAGATGCTGCTTATGTTCTTGAAACCATAGCTGGCATTGATACTGTTGATAAAGCAACAATTGAAGCATCAAAGTATATCCCAAAAGGTGGCTATGCTCAATTTCTTAAGAAAGATGGACTACGAGGGAAGAGATTAGGAGTAGTGAGACTATTCTACAATTTCGGAAATGAGACTTTTATGCATGAAACTTTCAAGTTACGCCTAAAAACATTAAGGTGATTAACTTCTAAAACTATTAGTCTTAAAGTACTAATACTGCTCATGAAACTGTAATAACTCTTATATGCATATATATTTAAAACCTGTGCAACACGCGGGGAGATAACTCTTGGTTGCAAGTTATTTTGAATTTGAATTCGTTGTCTATTATTTTCTTTGGCCACAATCCTTCTGAAGAAATCATGTGCTTTGAATCTTTGTGTTCATAATTAATAGGAAGAGTAGGTATATCAAACACAAGTTGAACTGTCCATGCATCAGACCTATTTAACTATGTTAGAATTTGAAGATTGATAACATTGATGACATTATCAGGCAAAGAGGTGCAGTTTTGGTCGACATTTTGAAGATTGATGACATTGATGACATTAGCATTGCTCAAAGTGAAATTATCGCTTTGAATTTTGAATTCAAATTGTCTTTGAATGCGTACCTGAAAGACTTAATTGCTTCACCAGTGAAAAGCTTGGCAGGTGTGATACACTTCAACAAGAAACACTCAAAATTGGTGAGTATATATGTGCTATTGTTTATTTTTCTTGTGGACAATTGGATATTAATCAATATTTATAACAGTATCATCTTATGGTTTTTGTATCAACATTTGTAGGAGAAACTTGATGAGTATGGCCAAGATCTTATGCTTGCAGCTGAAAAGACAAATGGAATTGGGAAAGTTGAGGAACAAGCATTATTAAACATGACAAGATGGTCAGAAAATGGGTTTGAGAAAGTGATGAAAAGAAATAAACTTGATGCTGTGGTAACACCTTTTTCATCCTTTAGTAGCGTACTTGCTATTGGAGGTTATCCTGGAGTGAGTGTTCCAGCAGGATATGAAAAGGGTATACCATTTGGAATTTGCTTTGGAGGTTTAAAAGGTTCAGAGCCAAAGTTGATCGAAATTGCTTATTCATTTGAGCAAGCAACTTTGATCAGAAAGCCACCACCCCTTAGGAAGTTGTAAGTTGAAAATTTGAAGGAGTAATGATTTAGAGCTAAAATAAATCAAAACATGGAGTAAAATGAAGCAAGTTGCAGCAACAAAGAAGAATGTGATGAAGAGGAGAAATCACCTCAGCTGCCACGTCCTTTCAGTCTAACACCGTTTGTCATTATTTGACAAAGAGGACATGTTTAATTCTGTTTGACAAAGTAAGGGATCAAATTGGGCATTTCAAAAGAAAAAAGGGCTAAAATAGACCAGAGGTATAAGTAAGAGACTAAAAAAGGGTATTAAGCCTTTTATATATTTATTTTTCACCTTTTTAATATATTAAAGGACATTTTTTTACATTTCAATTAGAGTTTTTATTTATTATTTAGAACAATTATTTATAAAGTATCTTTTTAAAAAATTTACGAAAAAAATATTGCACATATTCACAAATAAATGTATAAAATAAAATCATTAAGAATTAGACGTAGTATAATTAACTAAAAAATGAAAGGCTTAAGATGAGAGAAATTGAATGAATAGGCACAGAGGATTTTAGTCGGTGGCGGATTTTGGCGAGACGGGCTTTAGTGGGCGGAAATCTTTAGCCGGACGGACTTTGATGGGAGGCAGGTCCAAAATCTCAATCTAACCCACTATTTTTTTGCGAGTGCGAGGGCTGGTCCGACAGACCACGACCCGTTTTTCCACCCCTAATTGAAATATCAATAAAAATTTGAAACCTAGTAATAGATGGAGCCACTCTTGTCAATGCATGAGCAATTTTATTAGTTTGTATCCTAACGAACTTAACATAAGAGCTCATAAAATAAGAGGCTAGTAACCGTTTACATTCCTCAATAATTTTGTCAAACTCTATCAAATCCAATTGTTAGCTATTTACATTATTCGTTACGTTTTTTGAGTCTATCTCAAAATCCATATCATCACCACTCATGAGGCATGTGACTGACAGGAGCACGTGTTGAATTGGGAAATATTGTTTTTCCTTCTATGTTCAGTTTCAAAAGTTTGGGATTATAGTTCTTTCTTTTGTTCAATAGAGACTACACCACTAATATTTTCAGCGTCATTATAGATTTGGACAATGAATACCATTATAAATATTTAAAAGTTGAGAGATTAATGAATTAGTTTTTTTTTATTGAAGTGTCATTTAATTTTTTGCGGATGGAATTATGAGCCATTACAATGAGAAATAAAATAGTGGGATAAAATAGATTAATAGTTTATTTTTTAATGAATGAGATATTTAATGTTTAATTTATAAAATTATGAGTCATTAATATAGGAAATAAAATGGTTGGAAAAGTTTCTTGTCACCGACATATGAGAATGAATGTAAATTTTTCCAATGACAATGAAGATGGTGGAAAATTTTTAGGTAGACACAACCAAGTAGTTTTACATACAATCAATCATAAAATTTTAATTAATTAAAAAATAAATATAATATTTTTCTCTCCTTCATAATCACAATCAGTTCATGAATTCAATTAAAAAAAATTAAAATTATTTAAATTTAAAATTTTCTCAATTCTTATTGATTGTTTTTAAAAATGTTGATATATGGTTGTTTCCATAAGAAGTAGTTTTACAGACAATCAATCACAAAATCTTAATTAATTAAAAAATAAATATAATATTTTCTCTCTCCTCGTAATCACAACCACCTCATAAATCTAATTAAAAAATAACTTAAAATATAAATAATTTAAAAAAATTTCTATTCATATTGATTGTTTCTAAAAATGTTGACATAAGGTTGTTTTTGTGTAAGAATTCCTCATTTAGGAATACAAGGGAATACAAATTATAAAATTAAGGTTGAATGATTATGCGTTGTGACACCTCGGAATTTGCACTATGTGGCACAAATTATAACATGTGGCAATCAAATTGCTTAGATGGAAGTTAAATAGGTTTGAATTTTGATTTAATAGATTATAAATAGATTTGAGTCCTAGTAATAGATGGAGCAATTCTTGCCAAAGCACAAGCAATTTCATTAGTTTGTCTCCTGACGAATTTAACATGAGAGTTCATAAATTAATGGGCTAGTAAACGCTTGCATTCCTTAATAATCAATCAACTCTATCAAATATAGTTGTTGGCATTTACATTATCTGATATGGTTTTTGAGTATATCTCGATATCCACATCATCGAAATCGAGATGATACACCCATTTAAAAGTTGTTATAATGCATAAAGCCTCCTCGTATCAACCTCGGTAATAGGTGACACCTGCTCTGTTCGAGATACAAATTGCCCATCTTCATCAAATACACAAACACATATCTCTATATTATTAAAAGTCATAGAGAAATATGCATATATATTGTATTTGAGATTACCTGCTGAAGGTTTTCTCCAAGCATTGATCATTGGAGTTTCTTTTGGTTAGAACTTCTCGATTGGAGTTGTGCGTTTCTCCCTCCCAAAAACGAGTAGGAGGCACATCCATAAATTATTTCCACTGAATCTTTTATGTGGTCCAAAATATAATTATTTATACCCTTCTAAATGCTCCATATAATGGCCACTAACAAAGTTTGCTGGTCTTGATTTAGTTCCTTTAAAAGAGAGAAAATTATAGATGTGAAAAGGTGTTATTGCTCACCGCCTGTTGTATAATAGGCCTTAACCCCTCTAACTCCCAACGCTTAATACTTTTTGAACAATAAAAGACAAGATGTTTATTTTCTTTTATTCCATCTCCACAAACACCACAATAATCTTGACATTAAACTCATTTTGTCTATCAACTACTTTCTTGTGGCCACGCAATTCCTACATAAACGCCAACTTTTTTACCTTTTGAGGGGTTTTTTTTCAAGGGAGTTGACATTTCTCATGGACCTTTAAATGATTTGTATAAATATCCTCTTCTATACAATAATAAGCACTACAAGCTGAATATGTACTAGCCAAAAAGTACAAATGTGTATGTTCCCCCTGCAAGGGCAGGGAGACTCAGAGGCCTTAGTAGGTTTATAACACATTATGGTGGATAGACCTTGTCCACGACGGCGAGAAGCCATGTATGATGGTATTTTGAGGTAGTTTAGGAGTCCTGCTCACGTGAGGTGAGAAGCTCTACTTATGACCGGGGATGCTTGGGAGCAAGTGTATGGCCACGGTTAGTCGTGTGTTACAACTTTAATGAGTATTATGCTCTTTAGAGTGTAAAGAATGTGAATGACTTTGGGCCCGTCTTTCTCCCTTGAGGGGAGATGTATTTACAAAGGCCTCTATGACCTAGGTTCAAATCACCCTTAGTGGCATCAATTGCTCCCTTCCCATCAGGGGAATTTATCGACCACCTTTATTTCAAGAATTAATGGAGACTCCTTAAATCTTGATTTACGCGTCAAGGATACCTCTAGGCAGGTCTCCAAGTTATCATCTGGGCGACTCAATTCCTGGGTGAAGGTAACCCAGTTTAAGACCTCCACAAATTAAACACTGTATAATCCCTCAAGCACGAGGGCTTTCTATGGGTAAAGTGTTTTTAAAATCCCTTTTTACTTGAAGCGCGTCCCTCGCCATATCAGGGATTTCTCTAGTCAGGGGAGATCTTACTCACTAGGTGAGCCCATCTACTAGGGGTGAGTCCCTCAGCTGAAGTAATTTATTTATCATGACTATTGACATATGAGTCAGCTGCCATATGTCCCTTATTTAACTAAGAAATGTCATCTAGGGATGCCAATCAATCCCTGTGTTTTTATGCTTACTTTTATTTATTGTAATCAATGATGGCCTCATTTTTGAGACCCTAAACATTAGTGGCACGTGTCAGAAACATGCTGAGTTTTTCTAAAACCTTGAGGGGATTCAAAGATTCATGTATGATTTCCAATATACAAGACTTCCCTGTTTTCATTTTGCTCCATTTTCCCTCTTTCTTCAAATCCGTCCGACTTACTCTCCCTTGTCATCTCTCTGTTCACAACCTTTTCTCAGGTTTGAATTCCTTCTTTTTTCTGTATTTTTTTAGTGTATTTTGCAAAGGTATGTTTGAAATGGGGTGTTTACACTAGATGTAGGGCTTTAGGTCAATAGTCCTTTTATGACAATTAATACGGTGGTGACGACTTCTTTTTTTTTTCTATTGTGTTCTCAAGAACAAAATGTCTTCCACCTCCGTCGTGTCCAAGGATCGATGCTAGAGCCTTTGTGTTTAGTTACACCTCAGAAAAATAAGTCGATCTTTTACTATTGAGAGTGGATGTTTCTTCTTCAGAGGATGAGGTTCCAGTTGAAACAATCGGCTAAAAATCATCAAACAATAAAGTCGCCATCGAACGTCTTTTATTCTACATGAAGGGAAAGAAGAACATCAAGAAAACCTGAGAAGGGGGAAGTCACAGTCTTGCGAATGAGAGATCGGGTAAGGGAGTCTGTTACATGAGGGGAAGGTATTAGCACCCTACACGCCCGTAGTATTCTATGGTATCCACTCTTATTATCTATCTTATGTGTGTGTCTAATCTATGTCTACTGCTTACTACTGAGGAAGAATGCATGCAAAAGAAATGCGGGGAAAAGAAGGAAGTATTTACGAATTTTTCTCTGTTAGGCACCATGACCTGTTGCCTACGTATCCGTTTCAAGAAATTAGAGCGTCGTAGTTCAGCTTACATGTATCTGTTTGTTTTGTGTTTTTATGGGTGACGAACCCTTGTGAAAACGGTTTTGAGTTACGCCCTCAAGGCAAGATGCCACGTTTGATTGGTTTGTGTTTTGTTACCTTGAAAAAAGGTTTAAGTATGATTAATATGTTTTATGATTTGCGAAGAAAAAAATATTTTGTTTCAAATGCAAATGCAAAAAAGGGGAAGAAAAGAGTCTACGGGATACTAGCCTATTTCTAACCCTAATGTTATCATACAATGGTGGTCCTAAGGTTTGGATTAACATAAGGGAAACTTCTATCTAATGTTAGTATGCATGGTTTGCAACCTAAGGTCTAACTTGCATCTGAAAGGAACAAGCACGTCCTAA